TAGACCATATCAAAATCTGTGAAGCGATTTTAACAATGCCTAAACGCTGCCTATCCTAAAAGATTCTCTTCTTCCCCTTTGCTCTCGTTCTTCCTTCTCTCCTTTCCTTCCCCTTTTTTCCTTAAAATTGTCTGGTTTCTGGGTTACCAGACCTGACAGACTTACAAACTGACACTGTGACTCGAGAGCTAAGGTCCCACGGACCGCTCTGACAACCAACGATGACTTGACCAATTTTTGCGGGAAAACTTTTTATTCGACAACAAAGAATGAGAAAACGGAAATCGAAAGTGTTGTCAGGAAACTCAAATAAGATTTTTAGGTATTTATAAGACCTACAGAAAGAGATCACACGTAAAAAGATCCGACTAATAGGAAAAAAGTTATGGCCGAAAACCGAGGCAAAATGCAGGTTTTTGCTATTGTTGCTAATGCGACGATAATTTTACGAAGATTCTTCAAATACGTAGGCTTCATAATTCTAAATAACTACGACAAAATTGTAGTCGATTGATCAAGTGGTTTTGGAGAATTTCTAATTGTCTATCCCAAAATACCTGTCTTCCGGCCATCACTACTAGTTTACTGAGCAATGTACAGGGTTCATTCAAAGAAACCATTCCGAAAGATAATTGTTATCTTTATGCGAAAAACGAAGTGGATCAACAATTAGAAATTCTCAAAAACTACTTCACCAATCGATCGATTTTGTTGCCGTTATTTCGAAGTGTAAAGCCTACGAATTTGAAGAATTTCAAGTATCTGCGTGAAACTATCGTCGCATTATCGACAAGTGCTAAAATCTGCATCTTGCCTCGGTTTTCGGCCATAACTTTTTTACTATTAGTCGGATCTTTTTCGTGTGGTCTCAGTCTGTGATTAGTTTTTCCGTTCCTGCCAAAACTTTCGACTGATTCCCAAAAAACATGTTTTTTCATTCTTTGTTGTCGAATAAAAAGTTTTCCCACAAAAATTGATGTACCCATTTTATGCGTCCATGTTTTAAATACCCCATTGAACAACTTGCACCAATAAAACCAGATGTTAAAATTATTTCGCAAACCAGGGGTATTTTGGCCTAATATAATAGAACACACCAGAAAAAACTGTATTAAAAAAATCACTGGACAGTCAAATTACTCTAGCGAGTTCAAACATGTACCTTAGGCGGATCACATGTTCTCCCGTCTCCTCTGCACGTCCAATGCCTCCAATGTTGCCAGATCGAACGCTACGTTGCCAGTCTCATCGCTTAATTTACAGACCTCGTAGCCTTGGCACCTAACCTATTCGAAATCGTTGGTTCATTCCATCGGCGCCACCTGTAGAGTAATAGCGCAACGGCTGCTTTGATGTTTTCCTAAACTACTGCAACCCGCATTTCGCTTCCATGGTTTGTGGGTTGCAAGTTATAAGAAGCATATGGCGTATAGTTTTCGTATACAGGTTGTGTATTCAATGATTACTTAGTACAGCTCGGTCGGCGCCGGCGGTCGAGTGTGAGCGCTTCACCTGAGAAGGAGACAGCGTTGCCGTTCTTTAGCCTAATGCGTAATCTTCCATAACACAACCTATACAGGGTGTTTCAGTTTATTGTTGCATAACTTCAAGATTCGATAGACCTTCTAAAACTAATGCATAAAGTCTATATAAACATGGGTCGAAAAATGCGTGGCTTCCGAAATACAGGGTGTTTAAATTTACTTTCTAAAATAGTTTTTTTAAATATTTCGAACAGCATTTGATGTATAACAGTGAATATTGGTATACAAGGGTTTTTTGGTATGACAAAACGAACCATGGGCATAGTTTTACTGTAGCCGCTAGAGGGCGCTCTCTACTGTACCTGTAGTGTATTGAAATGACCGAAAAATTTTTCTTAGTGTTGTTTTTTGTTTTTTGAATAAAAAAACTGATTCTTCGCACTTTTCAACATAAAAAAGCTCGCCTGTGAGTTTTCGTTATAGTTAGCCGTTTTTGAGATATTTCGATTTTTAAGGTTCGATGCATTTTTAATTATTTATGGGAAAATAATATTTTTGTTTACATTTTCGATTTGGGCATTACAAGTAATGAAGATGATCGTTTAGATTGTGTGTTTTTAAACACACCAATAATTCCTAACTCCAAATATACACAAAAAAACAAAATATTAATTTGTTTAATTTTCCAGTATTATTTTTAACAAATTAAATTAATTATTTACAACTAAAATCCTATTGGATAGTTAGGACAAACTTACAAAATCTAAAGTAGTTGCTCGAAATGTAAACCCAATTGTTCAATACACAATTTACATCTACGAATGATCGAAGGTGGTATAGCATTATTCAAATAAGGCCTTATTTCATCACATGCATTCCTGATTCTGTCTATTAGCATATCTCTTGTGGTTACGGGAGTCTGGTACACTTTTTCTTTTAGAAATCCCCACACAACGAAATCTAATGGATTTAGGTCAGGGGATCGTGGAGGCCAGGCGACTGGTCCTCCACGGCCGATCCATCTTTCTGGATAATTTTCTTCCAGCCAGTTTCTAACTATTCTCGAATAATGAGCTGGACAACCATCAAGCTGGAACCAGGCCAATCTTCTTAAATCTAACATAACATCATCCCTCATATTTGCATGTTCAGCCTTTAAAAATTCCAAGAAGGTCGCAGCATTTAACCTTGCAGGCAAAAGGTAGGGTCCAAAGTCGATTACGGTAGATAACAATCCACACGTTTGCACTAAATTCATGCTGAACATTTCTTTCCCGAATTGCATGCGGATTTTCATGCGACCAAATATGTTGATTATGAAAATTTACCACTCCACGTCTAGTGAAGCATGACTCATCGGTCCATAAAACGTTACTTAAAAACTCCCTATTATTATCAGTTCTATCAAGAATCCACTGACAAAATGTGATTCTCCGTTCTCCGTCCCCTGGCTGTAGTCCTTGCACAGGTTGCAAATGGTAGGGACGTCTATGGTCATTTCTAAGAACACGGTGAACATGGCACCAGAAACTCTCCTAACACTTGTGGTCGGATCTCTATCAAACTCACGCAGAATCATACGGGTAAATCTGCGCTGACGAACATTTATGTTTTGACCCCTTTGGAGATTTCCAAAACCATTTTCAATTATCTGGCGATGCACTCTTATAAATACTGAGCGAGTTTGATGTCGTCTGTTTGGAAATCTTCGTGCGTATTCTCTGGCTGCTTCTGCTGCGTTTCCATTTACAAAGCTCTACACAAAATGAATATCCGCTAACTCTTGATTGGAGAATAAAAATGGCATTTTTATAAAATTCCAAAAAAACCAAACAGGTAAAAGAAACTAAATTTCGTGTATTCACAATTGCAAAAAAACGTTTCAAGTTTCAACAGACAACAAAACTAACTGTCAACTAATTGACGTTTAACCTTATTCTGCTTTTAATTTCAAAAATATTTGCAGGCTCAACCTACTTCTAAAAATTATCGAGGTACTGACTTTTTAACGTTATTTTATCATAAATAATTAAAAATGCATCGAACATTAAAAATCGAAATATCTCAAAAACGTCTAACTATAACGAAAACTCACAGGAGAGCTTTTTTATGCAAAAAAGTGCGGAGAATCAGCTATGCCCATGGTTCGTTTTGTCGTACCAAAATACCCTTGTATACCAATTTCACTGTTATGCATCAAATATTGTTCGAAATATTTAAAAAAAAAACTATATTAGAAAGTAAATTTAAACATCCTGTATTTCGGAAGCCACGCATTTTTCGACCCATGTTTATATAGACTTTATGCATTAATTTTAAAAGTTCTATCGAATCTTAAAGTTATGCAACAATAAACTGAAACACCCTGTATAGTGTGACAAAATATGATAATCGCACTAAGCTGGTTGTCTGGGCTGCAATGGGCATGCTCATGGGGTAAGTTTCTGAAGTAGACAAGCCACAAATCGTCGCAGATAGGGATTCTTGAATTCACTTGATTTTCAAGCTACTTGACTAGACTTGATATTACTTCACAATTTATGTAATATAAATACGAGTAGATTATAAATACGAGGAATCGAGACACATGAGGGTCCTAACGGCACGGGTATTACGTATCTTGAAAAGTGGCATTTCGTAGGTTGTTTGTGACATAGCGTAGGTTTTTCTACAAGATGTTAACTTAGCACAAGCTGTTGTACACTTGTGACTCGTTTTGTAGCTGTACGTGTTGCTTAAACGTCAGTGAACAGCGATCATAGCCAGGAAACGCGGAATGAACTTTTTGCACACTAACTACACAATCTGCAAAATGACAGTTCGTCGGTTTTTTTACCCATGCGGATTTATCGCTTAATCTGTTGCGGGGTTCAGTAATGGACTGTGTAGCCCTAGAAAATTTTCCTTTCAATGAACGCTGATGTGGCAGGTGTCAATAAAAAATCTCTTGCTATTAAAACTAGGTTTGGGAATAAATTTTCATACTTTAATCGCTACTCCTGATTATTTGCGTTATTGGTTATACAAATAAATATCAGTGACGGTATTAAGTGGAACAAACATATAATTTGTCATCAAGTATAAATTGTCTTGAAAATGCTTGACCTCAAGTCGAGTAGGACAATGAAAAATCAAGAGGAGTGAAGCATTAACATTTCAAGTAATTTAATCTTCAAGTCAAGTCTAGTTTATAAAAATATCTATCTACTTGACTTGATAAATTCTTAGTGACAGAAGAATTTAAAGAAGTGTGTCAGAACATTAGTATTTTACCTGTGTCACAATGTCAACAACTATCATATTAAGGATTTTTTCGCGAGTCCACGGTGTAGCACAGTGGAATACCGAGAACTGATACTCAAATTTTCGCGAAGAACGGGAATTGGGGAAGACGTATGTGACGTGATAAAAAGTCCAAAAATCACGTAGTACGGGTAGCCACCTAACGTCGGTGAGGTACTAGCGGGTGACAGGTCTTATGTCAATGTCATTTAAAAAACAGACATCTCAATTGAAAATTTGTCTTCGCAGTGCCGAAAATTGGGTTGAATTATTAAATCATAAATGGAGAAACACGTCCACCTGATTTTAGATGACGGTGGAGAAGGTAATCAAAGATATAGGAACCAGACTTGTCATATTAAATGCTTGATTTTATTGATATACAGGGTGACCCAGAAGTCGACGTCAAGCCGAAACCAGGTGATAGGCAAAGTCATAACAGCTATCAGAAAAATATTTAAAAAAATTTTATGTATGTGTTTTGAAAATTATAGGTCTTTGAAAAAGGTATAGAAATTTCACACCCTACGGCAGTCTGTCAACTCCTGTTACTACAAATATTAACTTTTTTTGGATTTTATTTTTACAATGTAATGATGAATAATGCATCTTCAAACTGGTGTCTTAACCTTACTGCCAACTTTTCTCATTTAGGAAAAATTGCCACTTATTTCCCAACCAAGTATTCCAAAGTAAAACTTTGCTCAACTTTAACTGGCTGTACTGGAAAAAATGTACTACGAGAGTTTGGCAAGTAACCTTAAAAGTTGGCGCATTTAATAACGATTCCAAAATGGTATAACACTTAGAAGATTACTCGTTAAATTATGCACAATTTTTATTTGAAGAAAAACTGATGAAAATTTTTCAAGATTTCCTAATTAAACAGCGATTATGAAAACGCACAAGGACCCTTAAGGATAACTGTTTGCACAACAGTGGGCGTCAAAATGCTGCTGCTGATGATTTACCTTTACAGCAAATGCTCAAACTGTTTTCCTTCAGCCGCAATACACGCTCGACATCTTAAAAAAGATCGGGTTATTAAACGAGCGAATCCACGGTTATTAACAAACTCAGCTGCTTCCAATAGTCTTTGCCGTAGCTCAGCTACATTTTGAATCGGCTTGAAATACACTTTTTCTTTTACAGTTCCCCAGTAAACAAATCTAACGGATTCAAATCTGGTGACCGGGCTGGCCACGGTATTGTACCAGACCGCCCTATCCATCTGCCTGGAAAGTTTTGATCGAGATACTCTCTCACTGAGAGTGCATAGTGCGCTGGGCAGCCATCATGCTGAAACCACATGTCCCTGTAAATACTCAGTGGAACGTCCTCCAATAAATTTTCTAAATGATTTTGCAAAAAACCTAAATAAACCTCAGCAGTCAAAGTCTCTGGGAACTCAAACGGACCGATTATTTTACCATTTAAAATTCCTGTCCAATGGTTTATCTTGAAGCGATATTGAGATTTATCTTCTCTCATCAAATGTGGGTTTGCTACGTGCCACTCGTGTAAGTTATGCAGGTTCATGTACCCATCTTTCTTAAATGTGGTCTCATCTGACCATAAAATTTTTTCAAAGAACTGTGGTTCTTTCCTGTGTCTTTCTAACATTGTGCGACAAAAAGCACATCAGGGCTCATAATCCCGGGGCAGAAGAGCTTGAACACGCTGTACGTGGTATGGATGGAGCACGTTTATTTGCAAGATTCTATGGGCTGTACTTTTGGGCACACCTGTTTTTAGTCCTATTGCACGCACTGAAGTACTCGGGTCTTCTTCGACAGCTCCTAGCACCACGTTTTCGTAAGGAAGGAAAGATCTTCCCTCACCGTGTGATTGGTTTGGTAGTTGGCCCTCTGAGAACAGTAAGCGGTGCACATTTGTGAACACTCGATGATCTGGATGACGAGCTGCATTCGGGTACCTCTCACAGTAAAGTCTCGCTGCAGCACTAGCGTTGCATCTGCATTCCCCATAAATGAGGTGCATATTAGCATATTCTTGTACGGTGTACACGGACATAGCGGCACTGCACAATCACACTATCAAAGATAGTCTAAGGAAAGCAAATGTTGTTTTGAAGAGCAATTAAACAGTCCAAATCCAAGTCACAAGCGATCAACAGTCCAGTTCACGAATCCAAAATTAGTAACAGTATGAAATCAACAAGCACGAACATGTAAAGATGCGCAGTAAACGAAGGAGTACTGATCGGTATCAAAGTGTGCAATAGCAAGTAAGTGATGTGCTTCATCCATACCACATACAGCGTGTTCAACCTCTCCTGCCCCGGGATATGAGCCCCGAGTTGCTTTTTGTCGCACAATGTTAGAAAGACACAGGAAAGATCCACAGTTCTTTGAAAAAATTTAAATGGTCGGATGAGACCACATTTAAGAAAGATGGGTACATGAACCTGCATAACTCACACGAGTGGCACGTAGCAAACCCACATTTGATGAGAGAAGATAAATCTCAATATCGCTTCAAGATAAACCATTGGACAGGAATTTTAAATGGTAAAATAATCGGTCCGTTTGAGTTCCCAGAGACTTTGACTGCTGAAGTTTATTTGGATTTTTTGAAAAATCATGTACAACATGTATTGGTGGACGTGCCACTGAGTATTTACAGGGACATGTGGTTTCAGCATGATGGCTGCCCAGCGCACTATGCACTCTCAGTGAGAGAGTATCTCGATCAAAACTTTCCAGGCAGATGGATAGGGCGGTCTGGTACAATACCGTGGCCAGCCCGATCACCTGATTTGAATCCTTTAGATTTTTTTACTGGGGAACTGTAAAATAAAAAATGTATTTCAAGCCGATTCAAAATGTAGCTGAGCTACGGCAAAGACTATTGGAAGCAGCTGAGTTTGTTAATAACCGTGGATTCGCTCGTTTAATAACCCGATCTTTTTTAAGAAGATGTCGAGCATGTATTGCGGCTGAAGGAAAACAGTTTGAGCATTTGCTGTAAAGGTAAATCATCATCAGCAGCATTTTGACGCCCACTGTTGTGCAAACAGTTATCCTTAAGGGTCCGTGTGCGTTTTCATAATCGCTGTTTAATTAGGAAATTTTGAAAAATTTTCATCAGTTTTTCTTCAAATAAAAATTGTGAATAAGTTAACGAGTAATCTTCTAAGTGTTATACCATTTTGGAATCTTTATTAAATGCGACAACTTTTAAGGTTACTTGTCAAACTCTCGTAGTACATTTTTTTCCAGTACAGCCAGTTAAAGTTGAGCAAAGTTTTACTTTGGAATACTTGGTTGGGAAATAAGTGGCAATTTTTCCTGAACGAGAAAAGTTGGCAGTAAGGTCGAGACACCAGTTTGAAGATGCATTATTCATCATTACATTGTAAAAATAAAATCCAAAAAAAGTTAATATTTGTAGTAACAGGAGTGACAGACATAAAATTTTTTTAAATATTTTTCTGATAGCTGTTATGACTTTGCCTATCTCCCGGTTTCGGCTTGTCGTCGACTTCTGGGACACCCTGTATATGTACATTGCACAAGGAAGCTTAAGCAAAGATTTTGCGCAACATGCGCCATCCAACCACTCCCGGTGTGACTTAAAACTGTCAAAACTTCGAGAAGAAGAGGAAATTTCATCTGTTCCCGCTCCGTTCACTACGGGATCTCGCGAAAAAATCTCTATTGCAACACATCTACAGATTGTCAAATGTTCTTCTGGGTTTGAACATTATATAATCGAGTACCGGCATGGAAAAGAGTAGAAGTGTGTTTTCTAGTATGATGTTAACAGTGCCGTTAGCCGTGGCGGCCGCTGGGTTCTCGACTATAAGAGTATACTCACCGTTTTAAGCGTCAGCCCCTGCCCTTTAACAGAATATTTCCTGTCATAAGGTTCCCGCCAATCCACGCCATAAATCATATCTTTCAGGCTCCCGGCAGGGTTGAGGGGCGCTATGAAAGCAGCTGCTGGAGGTGTCGAGCTTCCTCCTCCTGAAGTATCCCCACCCCCACTCCAGAATTCTACGTCTAGAATCGGGTGGATGTAAGGATGCTGTAGGCCTCTGAACAGTTCTAGAAGGGTGTCATGTGTTTCAGAGCGACAGGATAGAGGGCAAGTGGATGGTAGAGGTAGAAGGGTTAAGAGTCTTTCTGCGCCCAGATTTTTATCTTGGATTGTGAACCTAGAATATTAAAATCGAATAGAGATCTCCAAAACGGAAAAGCATAGCATAAAGCATCGTACGTTACTGGCGCGTCTTTGAGTACGGTAAGATCTGCGCAGACGTATACAAAGACGTTGGCGTTACCAGTGGCGTACAATAAGCTATGCTACTTTTCCATTTTGGGCGATGTTTAGAGATAAAGAATTTTGAGACCAGTGTTATACCAAAGAGCAGTTATAAAGGATGAGCCATCCTTTGGTTTCTTTTTTAAATTGGTATTAACACTACACTCTTCAATAATACGTAACACTCGATACTTTATTCACAAGAACACACCTTCAGATTATTTATGAAAAACAATTTCAGTTAAATGGCTGCCGCGGCTGGCCTGGCAATAGTCTATCAATATTTCTTATTACCGCAAATGCTTTGATCTCATTGGAAATACGCGAAAAAAATGGTTAAGGAATTTCAAGAAGACTTTGTAAAATCACAACACGACACCTCTACTCAGAGTACCAAGTAAATACCATCATTTACGTATGTATTTTGTACTGTTATTTTAGCTAATAAGCTAATGTATAATGACACGGCTGATTTTGAACCTTTTTTTGAAAAAACAACGATTTTTCACAGTTTCACATCTATTTTCCTTAGTACTATGCAGTGTAGTTATATTCTTATAATCTGGAGCATCATTTTGTGCAAAAAGCAAAAAAGCATGTAAAACAGTATTCCATTCAAGAGTATTACCACCAAAAATGCAACTTTGAAGTTCTATAAAATAGCAAGCAGAGAGTTCCTTAAAGGAAAAATAATATTTTCGTGAAAGTTACATCCTAATATTCCATTTTAAAGTAAGTAATGAAGTATTTGCGATATGCGCTAAAGTATAGTCTTACCCACCCACCTTTGTTCAAGATTAAAACGATCAGTTGCTCACAGCGGAAGTTCGACACAATATATCTGTCAATATGTTGAGCATGGAAGTATTACCAACTGTCAAAATACAGCAGACGCTCGATAACGTAAACACGGGATAATGAAAACTTGCGCTAATGTAAACACAAACTTCGTTCTATGGGATCAAACGGAACGCGCGATAACGTAAACAATGTGTACGCTCGATAACGTAAACAACTCTCGGCGCACGGAAACAGCGCGACGGTAAAATGCTGAAGCCTCGATGATTTATGACGGGCGTCGGGGAGTCCCCGATTTATGATGTAGAGTGTAGGGGATTCACCTCTGCGATAAAATACGACAAACTTCGGTTTAAGTAACATTTACAACACATCCACAAAAATATACTAAGTGACATATAAATCCGAACACCCAGTTTAAATGGTTTTATTTTAATAAAAGTTGGTGAATGTATTTATCTTACTGTAAATAACTTGTGAAAACATTTTCAGCCTTATCAGTTGGACATTCCGGTTTTTATGCTGCTTTTTTTTAATTCACTAACGCTCTAAAAATGAATATTTCAGCCGCAGCAAAGAATCAACGTTGGCGGATTTTGGTTCTTGACATCCTTTACGATCGGTTACGATGCCTAGAGTATGGAGACCTGTACGATTTCGTCAACTTAGTGAGTTTGATAGGGGCCGTATAGTGGGACTTCGGGAAGCTGGACTTTCTTTTCGGGCAATTGCAGTTAGAGTGCAAAGAAGTGTAGACACTGTAGTTAGGTGTTGTCAGGCATGGCTTCGAGAAGGCCGTACGCAAAGAGCAAGGGGCACTGGACGCCGCCGTAGAACAGCAGACCGTGAAGATCGCCGCCTAAGATTATTGGCGGATTAAGGGACCGTTTCTCCACTACCAGGTCCATTGCAAATGAATGGTTTGCAGAACACGGAAGACCTATTGGCATGCGAAGTGTTTACCGACGAATGAGAAGCTTTGGCTTGTTTTCATACCGGCCACACTGGGTCCTCCCTTTAACTCGAGAACACCGACGTAATCGCCTTGAGTGGTGCAGACAACGGTCACTCTGGGATCAGGAATGGAACAGTATTGTCCTTAGTGACGAGTCTCGATTTTGTTTAGGCATGCACGATGGTCGTGCCAGGGTTAGAAGGCGACGTGGTGAAAGGAGGAATCCACAGTTTTTTGTTGAAAGACATGTTCATCACACTGTTGGAGTTATGGTTTGGGGTGCTATAGCTTATGGTTCCAGGTCACCTTTAATCTTCATCAGAGGTAACATGAACGCGCAGCGTTATATCCACGAAGTTCTAGAACCCCATCTTTTACGCTATCTTGACACCCTGGCAGATCCAACTTTCCAACAAGATAATGCCCGACCACATGTTGCAAGAGTCACAATAGACTTCTTTCAACATAATGATGTCACATTGTTACCATGGACACCTAGATCTCCCGACTTATCCCCAATTGAGCACGTGTGGGATATGATGGGTAGGAGATTGCTCAATTTGCAACGTCCTCCTCAGACTCTAGAAGCACTTCGAGAGGAGTTGGTGGTTGCCTGAAATGAGATACCACAGGAGGACATTGACCACCTGATCAGAAGCATGCCTAGGCGCGTTGGAGAATGCGTAGCACATCAGGGTGCATCCACACATTATTAAAGGTCAAAGGGCTTTAAAGCAGTGCAATCATTTTGAAATTTTTATCATTTACTTATTATGCTTCATTAAGTACTTATACAAAATTTTATTAAAATAAAACCATTTAAACTGGGTGTTCGGATTTATATGTCACTTAGTATATATGGTAGACAGAGGCAATTCTAAGATGACTCAGACAACGTGCTGTACGTGAGGCCCCGCAACTCGGCTTATGGGAACCCGAACATTGTTTTTTGGGCCTCAGACATTCAAGATCGGACACTCAAAATATTGTTCTTCAAGGAACATTTGTAAGTAAGAGTTTGATGAAAATTCGATGACATACCAGTGCTTGTCATTTCTAGAGCCGATATCCTCCAGCTGCGATTTTAGTTCGTATCGGTCATTGTTCTCCAAGTGTTGCTTGCAGACCAGGTAAACACCGTTTCTGATTTGCTTTTCTTCTTTGCATTTGTCTCCGCCATCTGTCTTTAGGGCGCTGTACTCGTGTTTGGGAAGACCGGTTTGCCTAGAACAAGAAAACATTGAGGTCAGGTAGATTGACTCCATCCCTATCTTCGAAACAACTCCTAGTACAATTTTCCAAGTAATGCAATTGCATTAAGAATACGAAGGCTTTGTCAGAACCATTAGTGCATTATTTGGGGTTTTTATGAAAAGAAACTTCGTCACACTGCAGAATTGTGCGTGTCCGTACACGGTAGCCTCATTTCTTTGGAGCTCTGATGTAAAACTGTTTGTAAGCAATGATTGATAATACTAGCCCTTGATATAGGGTGTCCAGTGAAAAAGTTCACATTTCAAATTTGAATTACGCGGCAACCGTATACGCGAGGAAGTGGGGAGAGGTATTGATCGACGCGTTCGGCGTGCGGGTTAAATAGTCACAATGGAACGCTGGACCGGAGCGCAACGTGCTTTTGCTGTCGAGGCTTACTTTAACAGTGGTGATTCATACGCCGATCAAGAGATGCCCCAAGTAAGAACCTATTGAAAAAGTGGGTTAAGAGGTTCCTAGAAACAGGCCCTACTCATAGTCAACCAATTCCTGGCCCCACACCTACTGTATCAACCGAAGGAAATGTACGCCGAGTAAGTGTTTCGGTCATTGTAAATCCTCGGCGTTCTGTACGGAAGCATTCCGCTGCTTTGGGAATCCGTAGGTCAACACTGCATTCTACTCAAAATAAAATGTTGTATCTGCTATGTAAAATATACGTAACATTAAATAAACAGGTGTCTGACCAATAAGTGCCCGCATTGGGAATAATTGCCCGCATTGAAAAAAAATAAGAGGGATAAAATAAAAAAAAGTTAAAAATAATTAAAAAAAGTTTTTTACTTAAAATAGTACAATAAGCGAGTTTGTTTATTAATTATAACATAAACGTATGTTCTACAATAATTTCACTGTTAGTTTGATTAAATTCCGCTCTTTATACGTTTAAGTTATCTAAAAATAGGCAAAAAATTAACGAATTTTAGTGTGTACCTATCCTTGAATTTTCAGAATAATTAAAAAAAAAATATTTTCTATAAAGGGGGGTCCTTTAAAAAAATCAATGCGGGCACTTATTCCCAATGCGGGCATTTATTGGTCAGACACCAATAAACATAAAATAAACTATAAATAAAATAACATAAGCAATAAGTCAATATTTTTAGTGAGAAGGATGAACCTGATGCTTTAATAATAAATTATTAACATTTGGCGTCAATTTTGTAAGGGTTAATCTTAAATCTCCTCGGCTAATAATGTCCAGTCTGTTTCTTTCTTTCGTTAGGAGATTGGTAACAACGCTGAAACCCCTTTCCACTAGGTATGACGGTGGAAAGGAAATTAAAAATTTCCTCGCTATATTCCATAATACGGGATAAGTAACGGGTATGTTGTTTTGCAGCCAGAATTGCTGATATCCGTTTTTAAACTGAACCTTAAGTTCTTCGTTTGTACTTAGTTCAGTCAGTCCCTCTTGTATTATGACATTCGTTTCTTCTATGTCACCATATATGGATTAATTATTCACGCTGGTATTACCATGGTCAAAATATCCTCAAACCTAGATTCAAAATCTGATTAGAGGGCATTTAAATGTTGAAAGTAAGTTGAAACGTCGTCTTCCTGGCAGCTTGTCTGTGACAAATTGGGGAACTGAGAAAATTCGCGCCGTCCAATATTTTGCTTCATTAGTTTAACTCTGGCAAGAAACGCTGATAAGATGGACTTTGTTTTAATCAAATTTAAACTGTCGCCTTGTAATTGCAAATTAACCATATTAAATTTTGTAAACAAATCTGTTAAATAGGCGATGTCTGTTTTCCTTTTCATTAAATTTTCTTTTAAAATTTTATCTTTAGTATCCAGAAATTCTAAAATAGTCTCAAAAAGTGCAAAAAATCTTGTCAAACATAAGCCTTTCGACAGCCAGCGTACTTCAGTGTGAAGGAGTAATTGATGAAAGTGTTCGTCATTTTATTCACACAACTGCCCAAATAACCGCGTATTCAACGCGTTGCTTCGGATTCGGTTTACTGCATCAATGACTAAATGAAGTGATTCATGCAATCTAACACTCAAATTTTTAGCAACTAAATCTTGTCGATGGATGACGCAATTTATTGCTAACACCCCTGACACATTTTGTTTTAAATAGCTTATAAATCCACGATAACGTCCAACCATGGCAGGTGCTCCATCTGTAGCTACTGATATTATATTTGATAAAGGAATTGCTTTTTCAATGAAGTAATCCTTCAAAACATGAAATACTGATTCACCTTCAGTGTCGGTTATCAAAGTTTTTGCGAAGAGCAGTTCTTCGTAGATTTCTTGATTCATAATAAAACGAACTTATGCCAATAATAATGCTGCATTATCAGGTAAAGTTGACTCGTCCAGTTGTATAGAGAAATGGGTCGTTTGCAAATAATTACATAAGAAGCTTTCAATATCAGAACTCATTTCATCAATACTTCTTTCAACAGTATTGTTGCTTAAGGGAATTCTTTTAATGATATCAGATGCAGGTTTGTGTAAAACAGTTTTTAAAACTTCTTCAACGGCTGGCAACTTCTCTCCGATAGTATGCGGTTTTCCGGATTTTGCTATAAGTAACGAGATATTGTAAGACGCCCGCTAACCATCATCATTTCTTTGTGACGTCGAAGCGAACATTCTGTCCAGTGTAGGTCTCTTCTGAAATTTATCTTTGAGTGTTTGAAAGTATTTCAAATCTTTCTCTGTTTTATCAGGGTAGCATCTTCTCAGATGATATAAAAGGCACATAGGCGATTGTCTGTCCGCCAATGATGGAATGAAGCCAAATTTCAAATAATCAACACTGTACTGTCTACATTTCTTTTTAGATTCGGACATGGCATCAGTCCTCTGTGGGCAAAATTAAGTTATTTAAATAAGACAGAAAATCCGGCAGCTGTATATTAAAAATATTTTTTGATTTTTCCGAAAACATTCCATAATTCGAACATCTTGCAACAATTAGCTCGAATTACGGAGATTGCACTGTAATTATATTACCGATTGCTAAAACTTTCAAAAAGAAACTATTGAGGAGTACTCATGTAATTTTGCATGATTGAATATTTAACTACTAATAACTAAAGTCATGATTGGCGTAATTTATCTATCTTTGCTAACTACGAGTACAAAACTAAAATTTAATGAAAAATAATGTACTTACTTTTCTCCAGCACTCTCAAACAAAATAACACTGACTCACTATAATTTGTGTGATATACTATCTGTTTATATTTTTTAAAATATTTTCTTAGCACTTTCCTTTTCAAGATTCAGGAAACGAATAAACGTATTTGTCCCACATTAGTATTTATAGAGTGACGAATTGAACAAGTCAGTGCAAGGTAGCGAAGCTCTGAGACTGCGACTCTCAGGTTTTTACAAGTTCAAAATGTACTGCGACCACAAAGTGAATACCAACATACTACCACTTACACAATTTTATAAACATATATAATAAATTTTTTACTTCATAGGTACTTTTATAAATAATGTATATGTTTTGATATTATACGATATTATGATGTAAGTAAATAGGTACTATCAGTGTATGTGTTGAGATCCACTATCGTGGACCCCATATTCATTTCATGGACTCCCAAATTTTTTTTCGCTGACGTAGACCCCTTGCAGGTTGTCATAGACCCCTAGGGGTCGATATAGACCACTTTGGGAATCAATGCTTTAAAGAAACGTGATTACGTATCACGGATATCGGATGTCTTGTGCTGAATGGATGTTGAATCTTTTTCCTACGCTGCGCAGACTCGAGAAAGTTGTTTTCAGTGACGAGACCCATTTTCACTTAGACGATTATGTGAACAAGCAAAATTGTAGATATTGGACACCAACGAACCCAAAAGTGAAACATCAACAACAGCGACATAGTCCAAAGGTGACTGGTGCGCCATATCCTCTAGCGGTATTATTGGGCCGTATTTCTTTGAAGATGAAAACGGTCATGCATTGACAGTCAATTCCGAGCCGTACAAGGTCATGATTGACCTTTTTTTGCTCCTATTGTAAGAACAGAACGTCGATGAAAAAAAGAAACACATGGTTTCAACAGGATGGGGCAACTTTCCATACTTCCAGAGAATCGATGGACACGGTGGAAGCACTTTTTCCTCAGAAAGTTATATCGAAGTTTGGAGACATTCACTGGCGTAGTACTTCACCCGAACTCACGTCATGCGATTATTTTTTGTTGGGTTATCTAAGCTCAAAAGTGTATTCCAATAATCCAGGAACAATGGAGGAGCTTAAAGACTCCATTCGACGAGAAATAAACAACATCACCTGCAAGAGAGTGTTTCCGAATTTGTGCTCGCGATTAGAAGAGTGTGTCCGATAGTTATAAATATTTTCTTTTCATTAAGTTTGTATTTTTTTCTTAAATCAGAAAGTGAACCTTCCCATTGGATATATTGGTATAATATTTACTCATGAAATGAAGTGACCTCATTAAATTATACTCTAAGCATACCTAATGATCGTATATATATATATATATCCTTTAATTTTTTTGGGTAGTAGGCAAAGTATAAATATTAAGTATAACTTAAACTCTCAAGCTTTCGAAGATCTATGTCTTCATCGTCTGGAACTGGAAACAATTATTAACAATAGCAACAATTAACAATTAGGAGAAAAATATTTGCTTACTAAGTCGGCGAGATTGTTGCTGAAATTGTTTTTAAACAACAGTGAAGGGAACACATAGTCGACGAATAAAAAACTGACTCGACAATCTCGCCGACTTAGTAAGTAAATATTTTTCTCCCAATCGTTAATTGTTGCTATTGTTAATAATTGTTTCCAGCTCCAGACGATGAAGACATAGATCTTCGAAAGCTTGAGCTTAAATTACATTCTAACCATACCTAATGATCGTATATATACAGGGTGTCCGCAAAGTTGGGGTTTTCCTTTACACGACGTGTAGATCTTGGAAACATAAGCAATTTTTC